ACGCCAGTTTCCAACCGTCCTCCATCCGAAACCGAGACATAGCAATCCAGGAACGCCAACCTTCAGTTGTCCCCTCCTACAGTGCTGCTATTGCCAGTATCACTTCACCCCCTGTTAACAATAGGTGTTAATTAGGTGTCAACGATAGCCATGTGATGTGAGTATCAGTCACATGGAGGCAGGGCTTAAAAGCCTGAATTTTTCCTGAAACTCTCAGACTGAAGAAGTCTCTTGGAGGAGAGACGAAACGTTTCATTAGAGAAGAACCCATCCAGAAGACCTATWCWATTTTTTTCTTTTTCTAAATGTGTTGTGTGATGCCACACCAGGATCTGGAGCAGATGGCCCAAGAACAGGACGCAGAGTCGACCAGACTGGCTGTCCTCGCAGAAACTGAAAGCCAGAGACACCAAAYGCTCAGGTGTTTTGAACACAATGTTTACTTAATTAAAATGATGTTTTTCAGTGATCACTTAATCTTGTGTGTTATGTATACAAGCTATTGTGCACAAACCATAATGTAAAAAGAAAGTACACAATAGTAAGTTTGTTAATGTGCTAACGTCTCTTTGGGTTCCAGTAACCAGACAGCGTGGAGRAAAGCTAACCTGGCTTGCAAACTTGCCATAGACAACATGGAGAAGGATGAGCTTCTGCACGGTGGAGAAGACCAGAAAACCAGACAGAGGTTAATACAGTTCAGCCCGGACCAGTTAGCTCTTAAATGGGTCCATTTGCTCACAGAAACCTACCTAATGGACCCCAACTAGCATTCTCGAGTAAGAATAAAATGTTAAACAACTATTATAGTTTTATACTGATTCCCCTCCCTCTCTGCTCCGTCTGTGTATCTCAGGAAGGCAACAAAAGAAGGTCTTGTGGAAACGAGCAGCAAATTTACAGAGTCTCTGATGTCCATCAGCAGGATGATGTCTCAGCAGGTGATGCAAACTGAAGACACCATTGACACTTTAGGTGAAGAAACCTAATCTATATATATAAATATATATATAAACCACCGTTTTGCTTGTGTACCTTAATAAAATGAGTGTGTGTTGCTTATGATCTGCAGTCACCTCCTCCAGAACGGTGCAGGAAACCAGTGAGGAGTTTAAAACCATGAAGGGAACCATCCACCTGGGGACGAAGCTGATCCTGAAGTACAACCGGAGGGAGTTAACMGACAAGCTGCTCATCTTCCTGGCCTTTGCCCTCTTCTTCGCCACGGTCCTCTACATCCTCAAGAAACGCCTCTTCCCCTTCATTTAAAGCTCAAGCTGAATTCTGTTCTAAGCTCATAAGAAGCGAGACTGGACTGTTACAGGAGGAGGCGCTGAAACTATTTTCACCTGCAAAAAAAAGAAAAGGCTGTGAATTTTGTTTGCAAGCTCTTTTCAGGAATACTTCACTCAGGAGGTGATGTAGCTCTTCAATGATTGTATCATAACTGGAATTGTGTTACGAACATTTGGATGATCTCTCTGGGAATTTATTTTTGAAAGAAGTGCGACTTTGTTATAAAATAATTAATTAATATGTTACCAATTTGTAATTGTTGATTTTTTTTTATAAAAACGCACTTTGAGCCATAACCAATGACGTTCCAGACACAATATGCAGCATTAATGTGCCTTTCCTCCATTCAATMAGACATGGATGCTTTTCATTCAACTTGTTTCTATATTGTCTTTAGGGTTGTTTAGTTAGGTTATTTGCAAGTTTTTTAAAATCAAAATTGTGGCATTTAGTTAATTACAATTACGAYTGGATGGATGGTTAGGGACAAACAACAAAATCCTGCTGCTCAAACCGAGAGCGGCGACTTCTGCAGGGTGTGAATGACCAACACAATCCATGTGTTTGAACAAAGTTTAATATTTACAACACATTGCGCAGTGTATTGTTGCACAGCTCTCCTACAGATGTCAGCATATCCAACCTTTTCTGCTTGAGAAGAAACTGTTCAGCAAAGCAAAATAAAACCAAAGAAACAGACGTTCCTGTCTTTAATAAGGTTTTAGTTGAATCTTTACAACTTGCAACATAGATTTATGAKGAAGGTCTGAATTGTGATAAAAGTTGTGTTTTAAAATACATAAAACGAGCAAACAATGGTTTCTTTCCTGCARACTGCACCTCACATATTTGTGTGTTAGCTGTACGGTGCACTATAAAACAGAAAAACAGACTTAAATAGGCGGGACTCTAACCCMTCAGCTGCTCTGGAGCTAGAAACAAACCCTCTGTAGTGTTAGCTTGTGTTTGTGCTCACTCGATATGGGGACTTTAAGGTTAAAGTGAGGTAGTTGGCTGGCTTTTATCCATGTACAAACTGTTCAGATAAAATGTGAATAGACAAAAAAATAAAAATAAAATCCAGAAACTGAATAAATTATGCTGCTGGTTTCACAAACATCAGATACGCTTATAAAATGTCAACTCTGACTCATTTTGCTGCTAAGCGCATCATGTTTGTGTACCCTGTGTGCACCTGTGTAACCGGCGTATCTATGAGTCGGAGATGAACGGATGCTCAGAAACAGAGGCTAGGTTCAGTGGTGACGGGCCTCGTCTTGTTCTGCAGCTCGGCTCCTCTGCTCGGCTCCATGGAGGTGACGGGCCGGGCTGCTGACGGAGCGGTCGTGTTATTCAGAGCGTCTGATTGGTTGTTAGGGCAGATGTTGGCGAAGCTGCCGCACAGCGCCCCCCAGTGCTGCTGGCACTGCCCCCGCAGCTGCCGGCCGACCCACRCCCTGACCTCGCCTCCGCACTTCAACAGGAAGTTCATCAGCTCCACATACGGCCTAGAGCGGCAGACGGGGGTGTGAACAAGTTTGTGTTATTACAASAGTCTACGATGCAAAATTACAGATTAAAGTCAGGTTCTCTCTTTTCTACCCTCATAAAATAATGATTTTATGAGGTTTCATTAATTCCAAGAATTTAGTAAAATACACAGCTTTAAGGAGAAGTTTCGCAAAAAATAAAATAATTCTGGSAAGTACACCCCTGGACCCCCCTAGAACTGCTTCAGTCCACATGTGCTTGTTAACATGAGCAGGTGTTCCTCATTGCTGTCAGCTGATGCTAATCTGTTTCAAATTAGGTTAACTGTTTTAATTGGACAAGCTGGTTTCTAAAGATTAAAAATAATATCAAAAACAAAACTATTTAATTTGGTAAAGCTTTTCACCAGCCTTGAACGCACAAAAGTCTCCGCAGTCCAATTCACAGACAGGCAAGCAGATCCGTGCACTCATGCACGTGCAAATATTGTTATTTGCGTGTCTTTGTGTGTGCACCTAAATCTTGCTATGTGCATTCTCTTTTTGAGACAACATTCTCTCTATACTTCTTCCTACACATGTTGCAGCACAGCTCTGAAGAAGAGTTCAGCAGCTAAACTGCTCTGCTTCAATTTAAAATGAATCAATAAACTGCTTGTAATAGTTATTYTTCAGTACGGTTTCATTTACACCCAATTTACACTGGATGCGATTCCTCCGCAGTAAATATGCCCCCATTATAATTAATGAGAGCATTTACACTGCATCCACGATCCGCTAAAATTAGATTTCATCCTATTTTTTTGTCAGAGCAAACGCAGAATCAATCTACAAAGATCACACCACATCAAAAGTAAAAGGAACGACTGCAACACACACACACACCAGGGCTGCCACAAACTATTATTTTTATCATCGATTAATTACCGATTATTTTTTCAATTAGTTGACTAATCGGATCATATGTTAATTGAATAAAAAACATAGAGCTTATTGCATCAGAATGCAGCTGCTATTATATAACCATGGTTAGATTTTAGCTATATGCTAACTAAAATAATTCATGTGGAAGGTAAGTTCTGCTCTGCAGATATTRCACAGGTTTCTCTGTCATTTTCTTAAAATGATCCCACACTTTTGAGCTCTGTTGTCAGGTAGCCATGATACCAGAGCCTGTCTGTATAATGTCTTGTGRCGTCCACGGCCTACCCCAGTTAGCACTACTGTGCATGTGTGTCAAGGACAGAAAGGCAGATGTGGCAGTGGAAGGTGTCAAAGCAGTTTGGAGAGAAAAACAAAGTAAAGAACAAAAAAAAAAAAGAAAACGATTGATTATTAAATTAGTCATCAATTATTTTAATAATCGATTAGTCGTCGATTAATCGTGGCAGCCCTAACACACATACACACACACACACAGATATATATATATATATATATATGTGTGTATATCCCACTATGTTTGGGAAGCAGACGGCAACATGTAGCATGCAGCATATGGATACRAAATACAAGTGGATTTTATTTTGAAATAAGATTTCCACATTAACACTGGAGCTTTTGCACAATCTTGCATTTCCTGTTCATGCTTCTCAGTGCAGCTCTTTGCTTCGCACCAAATCAAACGCAGTAAATGTCAACTTTAGACCCGAGCGGAACCACACGCAGTGTAAATTGGAGATTAGACTTGTTACTAATCCGTCTGATGTTTATCAAACTGTTTTATCTGTTTACGCATGCACCATTCTCACCCGGTGGGAAACATGAGATGGAACTGGACCAGGTTTCCCATGGTGTCCATGTGGTCYTGCAGAGCTAGGCAGAGGTTGTGTTTGGAGTAGCACTCTCTCTGGAGGGAAAAYACCATCTCTTTTACCGCAGAGCACCGCCGGCTCACGCAGCTGAAACGCCGCCGCAGTCCCAGAGCCATGCACCGCAGCGCGTCCTTCACAAACGACTTCCCCTGGAAAGAGGAGGAGAAATTAACACGTGCATGTTACTCTTTGTTCTTCCCATGAAGCAGCCCCAGTGGGGTTTCAGTCAGGATGAAACTTTGGGTTTACGCTGCGATGCCTTTTATTCTCAAGAAAAATGTTGTGCAGCCTCTGGTATTAGATGAAGATCAAATGTGGGTCATAAATAAGTAACTTCTGGAGTTAACAGACTTTTTTAAGTAATCTGGCCCAGGACCGGCCTGTGGCATARGTAGTGTAGGCAAATGCTAAGGGCACCGACCATCTAGGGCAGGGGTGTCAAACTCATTGTCACCGAGGGCCACCATAACGCTCACGTGGCCACTTGTAATGAACTTTGACGTTTCATGTTTAACTTTGACTAAACAGTGTTTTAACTCGTCCTCTTTTAAACACTGATAAGAACTAAGTGTACAACTGACTAAATCTGAAATAAATACAGAAATATTATTTAGTTTRTGGTTGATGCTGACTTTAAGTAGCTTATTTTCAGACATTAGTACTGTGCTATCCAACTAAATTGCTCAGTTACTTAAAGCCAACAGCTCAGGGACAGGAATTTTTTTAATTTATTTTTATTGCATTTACTTTTATTAAATTTATTTTGTTGCATTTAATCATAAATTTAAAGTTTACCATTGAAAAATGAAACAAATTCTATGCTAATTTTTTTTTTTTTTTTTGGAGAGGCGGGGTACCCCCCCGCTGGCGGGCCACAGGGGAGTGGGCTTTGTATGTGACACGTGATCTAGAGGGCACCACACCTGTGTGACAAAATACAATTTTTTTACTTTTTAATCAGAGTATAGTTGWTTTAGTCTGTAGAATAATAACTGGTTACTCAGGTTTATGAAGGTAACTTGTTATGTGGGTCTCAACTGCTTTGTTGCAGAGGATATTTCATTATAAAAGTRTGAWATGATGCTGTCAAGACTAACTACAGGTGCTCAGTGTGTAAAAATACAACACAATAAGGATAATGGAAGTTTCAGTTATGATCTCAGATAAAGTTCAGGTTAAAGTCTGGTTTTCAGTGTTTAACCTTCATAAAATACTGATTWTATGTTGTTTTATTAAGCTAAAGAATTTAGTCAGATATTCTTTTATAAAGACGTAAAATTCTTATTTTTGATAAATTTTCCAGTGGAGTATACCCCTGGACCTCCCCTAGAACTGCTTCACTCCACAGCAGCTTGTTAACATGAACAGGTGTTCCTCGTTGCTGTTGGCAGATGTTTYAACTTCACTGATTTTAATTGGGCAACCTGGTTTCTAAAGATTAAAAATAATAAAGACAAAATGATTTCATTCCGTAAGTGAATTTATGTAAACTGGCAGTGAGATTTAGAAAACTGCACAAGGGAGCCCCCATCTGAAATCTTGCCTGGGGCGACAAATTGTCTACGCCCGGCCCTGATCCAGCCCCCCGTGAATCCCTGCAGGACATCGTCCTCCGTTCCTGTCCACTCTGAGGACATGCATCTCTTTCTTGTGCATTTCTATTCTAGTAATGTGGACACGCTGTCCCTTCTCTCATTTCAGAACCCCTCTCAGATTGTTCTGTAACCGGTGCTGCCGTCCATAACTATACYGCTCCTTATACAACTAACATTCCTCACAAATGGCTCTAACGACTGATGGGATTAAATGAAATAAAAACTTGGACCCAGATAAGTTTTCTCCGACCCCATCAAAAGCTCCCAGATGAAACTTGGTTTCAGCCTGTCAAGTGGGTGTAGACGGGGGCCTGACGATGGCGAACTGAAACGCTGTAAGGTGCGTGGTCACATCGTCGTGCAGATACCTGGGAGTCGTAGCGCCCGGCGTTGTGCAGCAGTGTGAGGCATATGTGGTGCAGCCCGTGGATCTCACAGGAGTTGTTGCTGAAGCACTGAAACATCCCACAACCGACGTCACCTGAAGCCAGCAGGCAGCTCTGAATCTCAGCTGCAAACACACAAACACAAAGCTGTATAGTCACACAAGGAAGCATCTTCTAAACGGGAGGCCTGGATTAAAACCTTGCATCGAGGTAATGCTTTGTTGCAGGGGGCCGTCGAGCTCAAACTTTCAGAATAAAAGTCTCTCCTCAGCTCAGGCCACAATGGGGGGAGTCAACGCCACTTGTTGGGGGGGGTTTTAGTTCAAATGTAACCAGTTCTGACTGACTCCTTTCATTGCCAGGGGTTTCCAGTCCCTGCTGTTGATGTTGCAGGGCTGCAGGAGTCGCCTGACTCGGAGGGAGTGAGCTTCAGGATGGAGTCACCGAATCTTGTGAAGCGAATTACAGATGTCAACAGACGAGGAGGGGGGTGGGGAGGGGGGGGGGGCAAACAGAGAGGAGCCTGTATTTTTCAGCTGTCTGCACTGGGATGGTGGCCAGTTCAGCTGTTACTTTGATTTCTAATCTGGACAGAAGAAGGATTATTTCCAACACAACAAACTTATTCATCTCCAATGAGATGAACGAACACCTGAGCAATTATCCGAGTAAAATGTATTTTATTTATTTGTTTGTTTRTTTATTTATTTATTTATTTGCTCACCCGTGCTCTGCAGCGAGAGGCGTTTCTTCACTCCTTGTTTCTCCTGAACATCCTGCAGATCCAGAGCCAGCAGCAGCTGGAGACAGGCCAGCAGCGGCAGCAGGAACATCACAGAGGACAGACTCACCGGCATCTCCTGAGGGTACTGTGATAGGGGGCCTATTTTAAAAAATATAAATATATAAATTATTAATCTAGTGTTCTGGTTGGTGCGTTTGGAGGAGTGTGACCCGGACAGTGTGGCAGCGACACGAGCAGCGGGACTATAAAAGCCGCAGAGCGGAGGACTGGCTCGCCGAGCGCGTTCACCGAAGCGCTCCCAGCCAATCACTGCGCAGCTCCGGTGCACGCGCAGCACACGTGGAGCTGAAAGTTGTGGGAGCGGGTGGCAGAAGAACATACGGGTAACTCTGTAAAAGTGAAGGAAGCCTCCCGGTGAGGTGTGTTCCTGCAGAGCTCCAAGGTTTGCAACTAAAACCCATTAAGCCGATGCGCATGCGCATTAAGGGTTCCTGGAGGCAGGAAGGAGACGACGTGCAATAAAGAACGTGGGTCCTCCAAATTAGTATCACACCAGGTTATAAATTGTATTGTTCATAAAGCCAGAATAAAAGATTTTTTTATATTAAATAAGTAGCAGACCCACAGCTATGGAGGACCCAAACTGTCATAATTAGAAATAAAAGCAGAAGTATATAAATGGATCAACAAATAAATAAATACTCTTAAAATGCACCAATTCAATTAAAAAAGGAGAACTTTAACTCATGTTTTATTGTTTAATTGACTTTCATATTTATTTTTCCATCTTAGTTC